TGGACAGCATGGCCTCCAAGGAACAGAGTTCTTTCTCAGGCTCTTGGCTAGTTGCAGGGATGTGCAGAGTTACCACCTGATGGTCTGTCAGTGCTGTGAGCAGATATGTCTGTGTGAAGACCAAACAATGATAGTCTTGATGCAGAGACGCTGGTGCATTTTCGGTGTCACCACCATGCTGGATTGATGTGCAGAGTCCCACAGCAGTAGGCCAGCAAACTGTACCTGGAGGAGAACAGCAGTCCCCCTGTGTTCAGCTGTGAATCCTTTGCCAAGAGAGCAAGCCAGTCCCTTACCGTAGAACGTATCTGCTTTCCCAGCATCCTTCTCATTCGCCAGCTCTCTGATAGTTGTAGTTCAGTCAGCACTCAGGAATACAGGATGTATTGGCGATAGGACTGCAGGTCCCAAGATCCTTTGCTGTCAAAAGAACTGGATTCACTTTGCTAACAGGAAGTGGTGCAGCGGTCCCAGTACTGAAGGTACAAGGTAGCGAAGCAGAGGTGTAGCTTGAAGCTTGTGGGCCTGATGCAAATGTTGTCCTGGGGCCCCCCCTCACTACCACCCACCGTTTCAACCACACACCAAAATACTCCCAATGGGCTTGTATGTAAAAGAGGAAACTCAGAGGGCCTAGTCTCCAGATTCAAATACAAGCCTACCACTTTCACCTCAGCTCAGAGTGTGGCCTACCTGTTCCCAACTTGTGAGCACATGCAGGGCTGGGCAAGGGCTTGAGCAGAGAGTGTGCTGCTGGGGAAAAGAGCTTGCCCTGGCAGACTGTGTAATTGAAACTGTAAACTCAGAGGGCCCTGGGTGGGCCTAGGCGGGCCCTCCAGAGTTTACTGAATAATCTACGTAGAGTAACATGACAAGCGCAAAACAGTGTAAAACGGATAGACAACTTATGGGATGTGGAGATCTACCTGAAAAACATGAAAGAGATCAAAGACCACTGGGATTCAGAGCCTTTTTTTATAATAAATTAACTAGCAAGGTCTAATAAGAAAACTTAGAAAAATGTAATAAAATAAATGTCACGGTAAAAATATAAACTTAGCTTACCTTAAAAGTGGACAGTGTCAGTAGGACAGTGGTCGATGTGTGGACCGTGTCAGTAGGGCAAAGGATGGTGTCAGAAGAGCAGTGGATGGTGTCAGTAGGGCAGAGGACAGTGTCAGTACAGCAATGGACGGTGTCAGAAGGGCAGTGGACAGTGTCAGAGGAGCAGTGGATTGTGTCAGTAGAGCAGTGGATGTATCAGTACAGCAAAGGATGGTGTCAGAAGGGCAGTGGAAGGTGTCAGTATAGAAGTGGATAGTGTCAGTAGGGCAGTGGCTGGTGTTGGTAGGGTAGTGGATCATGTCAATAGAGCAGTGGACAGTGTCAGTAGGGCAGTGGATGGGGATGGTGTCAGAAGGGCAGTGGAAGGTGTCAGTATAGCAGTGGATAGTGTCAGTAGGGCAGTGGACGGTGTCGGTAGGGCAGAGGACAGTGTTGGTAAGGCAGTGGACCATGTTAGTAGAGCAATGGACAGTGTTGGTAGGGCAGTGGATGGTTTCAGAAGGGAAGTGGAAAGGTGTCAGTATAGCAGTAGACAGTGTCAGTAGGGCAGTGGCATGTTGGTAGGGCAGAGGACGTGGTTGGGTAGGGCAGTGGACCATGTCAATAGAGCAGTGAACAGTGTCGGTAGGGCAGTGGATGGTTTCAGAAGGGAAGTGGAAGGTGTCAGTATAGAAGTAGACAGTGTCAGTAGGGCAGTGGACATGTCGGTGGGGCAGAGGACGGAGTTGGTAGGGCAATGGACCGTGTCAATAGAGCAGTGGACAGTGTCGGTAGGGCAGATGATGGTGTCGGTATTATCTTTTAATTATTTTTTTTTTTATTTTTTAGCAGTCCTGCTAGGGGGGGCTTTAATGAAATATCAGGGGACCCCCAAAGTTTCACTTTTGAGACAGAGAAAGAATGTGGAGGACACAGTTTTTGGATGACCAGGGGGAGCACACAAGGGTTCATGCAGCAAAAGGAAGGGGAACCTGGAGAGGAGGCGCGGCATTTACTGGAACCAATCCCCTTTCTTTCTGCAGTAGCTGAATGCTGGCAGGTGGAAAATTAGCAGGCTGAGGATTGGTTCCAGCAAATCCCACCCCTGCTCCTGTCCATCTTCCATAAAATTGAATGTGACAGCGGGGGCCGCACAAGCCCCCTGGAGCATGGGCGGGGTCGCCCTTGTGACTCCTGAAGCTATGGCAGTGCTGCCAAGGATATCACCTTTACCAAAATACTACCTATGCAGATAAGGAACTCTGTAAAAACAAGCTGTGCAGCTTTGATCAAACTTGTATAATGCCTTTGCTATAGGTGTAGGCTATTTACATGTCGCACCCTCCTAGTCAGCTAGGGGGAGCAAAAGTTTTCATTGTTAGCCAGAGGCTGAGTAGCAGCCTGGTGCAACAGTCAGAGGGGTCAAATTTCAGTCCAGTCAAGGCTCTGAGATGCTCTGCAGACCAGCTCTCTGAGACTTCCCCCTGCTCTGGAACTTTGGTGAAAGTTTTAGACACAGTGGGCAGAGGTAAGGAGTGGCTGATCTGCACTTTTGAGGGATCCTGACCATTCCCCAGCAAGAGGCTTGGCATGGGGCCAGGACAGCCCTTAAAAGTGACAGAGCCTGCTCAGCAGCAGAAGAATTTGGGTGGAAGATGGAGAGGAAGTGAGGCTGGAGAGCAGGAACCTGCAAGGGGACCCAGATGGAGAGGGGCTCACCTACAGGCAGAGGATCTTGGAGGGAGGAAAGCTCAGGACTTCACCGCCCCCCAGAGCGAGGACCATCTGTGCAGTAGGGAAGGAGCGGCCTGGTTAGAAGGCCTGGTAGCAGCCACCAACCTACCAGCAGCACAGAAGGACTGAGTGAGTAGATCTACACCCCCTGGGCCAGATAGGGGAAGGGGCACTTCAGTGAGAAACTGACTTAGCTATCTTCCCTGGGACTGTTCACACTGCAGTGGCAGGCACTGGATCCCCTGCCCAGGGATTCATTCAGTACAGCTGGATGAGGAGAGGAGTCATCTGGGCTCCGGGCTGGTACAACAGGAGATACTGGCTAGCTCTCCAGAAGACTTTTTGCTGTAAAGACTTGTACATAGTTGCTAAGGTGTGTGTGCTCTGTTGCCATTACCCTGGGGCAGCCCATACACCCCTTACCCCAACTTCAATCCCCTGTTAAAACTTCAAAACAAAGCTAATGGACTGGTCACTGTCTCCTAGATTCATGTCTGGATGAGGGAAATGCCTGGCTGTGCAGGACTATAGGGGACCCAAAACTCAGCAACTCCTACGGGGGTCGTGCTACCTACATACCTTATGAAGCCTTACTGGAAAACTTCTAGGATGTTGCTAGGGACGTTGCTAAGAGACGTCTAGTGGGTACTATTCATCTTCACCATCAAAGGAGTGAGCTTTATCTCTGAATCAAACTCTTTTACATGTGCTTTCTCTCCCCTGATGCAGTAAGTCTGAGCTCAGAGTTTTAGAGCTTGTTCCTGTCATGACGAAGGTGAACAGCAACACCTAGGCTTCATGAGGTATGTAAATGGCCTACACCTATAGCAAGGGCATCATTCAACTTTGGTCAAAGCTACACAGCTTGCTTTAGCTACAGACACCCCTTAGCTGCATAGGCAGTTTGGTGAACTAACCCTTTAGGCTCCATTCACATCGTGCAATTTTCATTACGACTTTACAGTGTGACCTGATGCGAGTTTGGATGAGTGCGACTTTGGCTTTGACCAAGGATGAGTGTGCTATGCAAAGTCGTACACTAGTTTCATGCATATCATTCAGGTGCAACTTTGGAGGGTTTACATTAAAGTCTATGGCTCTCAAGTCGCATGAAAGTTGGACCAAAGTAGTGCAGGAACTACTTTCAAGTCACTGCAACATGAAGTCGCACAGATATGAATGGTACTCATTGGGAAACATGGGGTGCGACTTGTCATGTGACTTTGCAAGGGAGAATGTCACCAGCACACCAAGGATCACCAATATGGGTCCAAAAGTTTTAAAGCAGGATTGTGTGCGCTGGGATTGCACACTTGTTATGCGACTTAGGACCCCAAGTTGCACAAGTGTGAATGGACTCTTAAGGAGATTGAACAGTCAGATTATAACATGTAGTTAGCTTTGTTTCATCCTGTCACTAGTGTGAACGCTAAACTTCCATGACTTAAACTCATAGCTGTGTCTGTCATACTGTACATACATACAGTGAAGGATAGTGGGCTGCTCACACTCCACTTCATCCATTCATAAAACTTTTTGTGTTCTTTCCACAAAATAATAGGCATATTGTGAATGAATGAGGGGACACCATTTGCCAGTCAAAATGTGCAGCAGAATACAAGGCATTCTGTGCATGGATGAGGTGAGGGGGAATGCGCATCACAATCTTCATTCCTCCAATCACAGAATGCTTTGCTTTCTGTGAAAAGAATACAAAACATTTTGTGAATGGACGCGGTGGTGTGCAAGGAACCCACTATATGTATTGTATAAAAGCCGCCATTGTTTTAACACTGGGCACTTACACTAATGACACGGTGAATGAAACTTCCAGTTTTTCATAATTCAGTAGCATCCGAACATGTGGGCCAGGACTCCCATCATTACAGATGCATTTTTTTTTTCTCCAGTTTCTCCTGAAGTTATTCTTTTGAGGCTGCTAATTAATGAAGTGGCCTTTAGTCTGCACAATGTATAGCTTTCTATTTCACCTCAGTATTTCTCTGCTACTTTAGTACAGGCTTCTTTTTTGAACATTCCAGTGAACAATTATCATGCTAAGCTAGGTGTGTTTGTTCTTTTGCAATAAAGATTTCGTTTTCACGCTTTTTTTTTTTTCTACTTTTTGTTTACTGTTCCCTCCCGCGCCGACAATTCTGTGTGCCTTCTTTGAAGTGAGCGTGTGTGTCTGTGTTTGATTTTACGATGCTCATCAGCAGACCTGTGCGGTCGGGCTGAGCATAATCTTGTGGAATCATTTATATGTTTTGTGTCCGGTAATGGCGACGTTTGTGAGCGAACTGGAGGCGGCCAAGAAGAGTCTGAGTGAAGCTCTGGGTGAAAACGTGAAGCAGTGAGTGAATTCTTTTTTATTATTGTACGAGTACCGGGCGGCCTGCACATCCCCGGGCTAGATTAATACGCTCCCCCCCACTGTGTTAGGGGAGAGCTCACGTGCTCCCTATTCTTGTACTGTAAGTAGATGTGAACCCCACCTGAACGACATTTACTTAGTTAAAGCTCAGTGTCTAATGAAAATTTACCTATTTCCTCAAAATCCTTGTTTTCATCTTTTGTTGCATTCAGTGCAGCTGATCCCCTGCAACCTCTTTCCATTCATTTCTGTTCTACATGCACTCCAGGAATTGCTGTTTCTCAGATTGGGTTTTCTGCAGGTGGCGGTGGACCATGCCAGTGTAATGTGTAAAGCAGCAACCTGTAGTCTCCGTCGCAAGCCCATGTGACTGTGACAACACAGGGGTTCAGATGGGAGACTGAACACTGCGTTGTCACCCTATAACAGGAAGTGCCTGAACAAGGACCCACATGGCAGGATTCCCAGGTATGTTAGTGAAAGCTGCAGATCTATAGATATTAAAAATGACTTCTAACCTGACATAAAAGCAGAGCTCCACCCAAAAGGAGATGTTCCCTTGGTCTGGTCCCCTGCTGTCCGTTAAGGATTGGCACCTTTGGGGAGTGGGTACCCGAAATTGACAGGTACCCGCTCCCATGTCCTTTGCGATTGCCTAGGCTAGGGGTAGGCAACCTGAGAGCTGCAGGACTACAAGTTCCATCATGCCTCTGCAAGTCCTAGCTATAACTTTCAGTTTTGTAATGTTTGCAATGCCTCATGGGAAATGTAGTTCCACAACAGCTAGAGAGCCACAGGTTGCCTAGGCAATCAGAAGTGAAAGCTGTCCTCCCTCCCCGTAGTCTTCTGGAACACAACAGATCCCAGAAGACTATGGGACCATTCAGAAAGCACATCGCTACCCAGTTATGAAGTCGTAAGCTGTCACAGCTGGGTGCCCACACTGAAGATTCCAGTGCTGGGAACACAGGACGGCCGGTGAAACGAGCTGCAGGGGACACACGGCGGGATCGAGGGGCAGGTGAGTGGCTGTTTTTTAAAAGTCAGCAGGTACAGTTTTTGTAGCTGCTGACTTTTATATTTTCACTGGAACTCCGCTTTAACCACTTCCTGGCCATAGGACGTCTTCCCCCAACACTGCCTTTCCCTGGCTTTACCGTCTCATCACGGAGCTTAGGAGCGATGCGACTGGCGGCGATGGCTGCACTACATAGAGAGAAACTAACATTGCTCCTCCCTTTCTGTGATCCCAGAATCTGGAAGCAACAAGGATTTTTGTTTACCTGGCCGTTAACAGCCAAGAGAGCAGCCAATCAGACTGATCTGTGTCTGATCAGCTGCATTGGAGGCCAGAGCAGAGATTTAATAGACCCCAGATCTCTCCATAAAGAAGACCTGTCACGCTGTTACAAAGGATGTTGTTCATCTCTTGTGATAGCAGTAAAGTTAATCTAAAAAAAAATTAAAGCGACAGTGTGAAAAAAAGTTTTAGATAAAATATTGTGGCGGATGCATTCGGTTTTTTGTATAGGCGGTTTCCTTCTTTTTTTCACCTGGTGATCTGGCCAGTAAGTCCGTTGTGGTTTTTCAACAAGCTCTCCTGCAAATGTAGCAGTTACAGGGACAAGACAAACCATTTAACACTGACAGGTGTGCTTACAATGGTCATCTTTTATTTTTGTAAAACCTTTATCCCAAAAGAAAAACTCTTCTTGTAACTGCAGTGTGAACTGGAGTTTGGCTTCAGTTTGTCAGTGTATCTAAATTTGCGAGTACATCTAACACTTCTCTCCCCCCCAACAATGCTGCGGTCCAATGGTACCCGTGTGCTTCTTCCAGAGTGGAGGCACTCTAATACAGGAGGTGTGTTACTGGCCAGATTACCAGGTGAAAACAGAGGGAAAAAAGCCTAAAACAAAACAAATGCAGCTGCCACATCTAATGACTGGTAAACTGCAAAATATTACAGTTTTGGTTTGAATGCCGCTTTAAGCTGAAGTGTCCCATGTGCTGGTGCTGGCTGTCATAGTTGAAATCTTCTGTCCTCTGACCCCCCACTCCCACCCCACAGCCATAATCTTCAGTTGCTGCAGGGGCTAATAGAACTACGGGACTCATCAAAGATTACCAACTATACCCACCCTTGCGATGCCCCTCCTGCATTCATATAAGTTGTACTGTAGTGTTCTTTTCATTCATGGGAGCTATCATACAGCTAAGGCGGTGGATCCTCCTGTCCTATATTCGTAGATCATACTTCATTCATAGAAGATGTAGTACCGGCTTCTATGACTGGAGCAGCAGGGCACAAAGTGCGGGTGTATTTGGGCACCCTTGATGAAAGCTAGCGACAGCAACAACTTGAGGGTCGTCTGATCCAGATTCATGTCAAAAATGCCACAGCAGTGGCGTACATCAAACACTGAGGGGAACCAGAAGTCTTGCTGAAGCAAGAGAGGTAGGAAGGTTTCTAGCCAGGACCGAACTCCACATTCCAGCCTTGTCTACCATTCACATTTCAGGCGTAGACTGTTGGCAGGCAGAAAACCTCAGCTGGCAGTGTCTGCAATGAGAATGTTCCCAACATTCAGAATTGTTCCTGTGTCATCAGTGGTTGATGCCAGATGTGGACCTCCTGGTCTCCAGGCTCAACAGAAAATTGGACATGTGTATTGCCAGAAATCAAGATCCTCTGGTGAAAGCAGTGGATGTTCTCATGGCTCTCTGGGATCAGTATAAACTGATTTATGCCTTTCCTCCTTTGGATCTCCTTTCTTGTCTACTCCTCAGGATTGAAAAGACAGGGAATCCAATGATCCTCATAGCTCTGAACTGGCTTAGGCAGATGTGGTACTCCATCCTGAATAAACTTCTAGCAGCAATTCTGAAGTCTCTTTCAGATCATCTTGATCTTCTATCTCAGGACCTTTTCACAGCACTCAGCTGAAAAATATTTCATTGTGTTTTTCTTGAACTTTTAGCAGGAAAGCTTTTAGCAGCAAATCTCAGCAAAATGCATCAGTTTGAAAGGGCCCTGAAGAACGTGTTTACCACCTTGCTTCACGGTCTCTGGCTTTAATGATGTAGCTGTTGAGGTCTTGAGAGACAGGGGTCTCTCTGATTCCCAGTTGAAAGTCTACTTCCCACAAGGCCTATCATTGCGCATTGAAGACTTGCTTTGCTTGGTGTGAGAAAAGAAGATTTCATCCCAGGAATTACTGCATGGGACCTAGCTTGACCTTTTTGCAGTAAGGCCTGAATGCCACTCTGTGGGATTTGAATCTGTGTCAGTTCGTTAGAAACCACCCTTTGAATCTCTCATTGATATTCCCCTTTCTACTGTCACCCACAAGGATACTTTCCTTGTTTCCATCACCTCTGCCAAGAGCTGGCAGCTTGTCCTGTAAAGATCCCTGTTTGGTCCAACACAAAGACAAGGTGGTGGTGAGGCCTAGAGCCCCTTGTAATCCTAAAGTGGTGTTTGCCTTTCATCTCAATCCAGACTATATTCATGCATTTCTCTGTCTGACTCCAGTGCATCAGAAGGAAAGTTCCCTTCACTGCCAGGATGTTGTTTATGCTGTGTTAGACTACCTCTCAGCCACTGCTTCCATTAGAAAGACCGACGTTTGCTTTCTGTAAAAGGGAGCAAACTGCTTGCTTCACTGTTAGGTTAGACAAAACATTGTTTAAGATTATGGCATTATTAATATACAGGATTTATATAGCGCCAACAGTTTGCTCAGCGCTTTACAATATAACGGGAGACAATACAGCAACAATACAGTTCAATACAAGAGGGATAGGAGGGCCCTGCTCCTTGGAGCTTACAATCTAGGAGATTAAGGATGAGGTTCCACCTTTTCCTCTCAAGGCACACTCAACTAGGTGTTTGAGTGCCTCTTGGGATTTTCAACATGGTGTATCGGTTTCCCAGATTTGCATGGTTGCCATCTGGTTTTCTGTTACCATTTTTTTTACCAACCGGATTTTCAGGCCCCATTTGATGCCAGCTTTGGGCATAAAGTCCTTCAGGCAGCTCTTTGAACTGTAGGGAGCCCCCATTTCACTGGTTTTCTGAATAACTGAATCATGTGTTCCTAATGATTTTAAGAAACAGTTTTTATGGTAAGTAAAAGATTCCCTTTTTACTGCTTAGTAAGTATATGTAAATGCTTTAATGTCTATAGTTCAGGCACAGGTTCACTTTAAAGTGGTTCTAAAGGCTCAAGTTTTTTCACCTTCATGCATTCTATGAATGAAGGTAAAAACCTTATGTGTGCAGCAGCCTTCCCCCAGCCACCATAACCCTTATCTGAGCCCCCTCTCAATCCAGCAATGTCCACGAGAGCCTCAGTTCTCCAAGGACTCTCACTCCTGATTGGTTGAGGCATCAGTTTGAGCCTTTGGCTCCTGCTGCTGTCAATCACAGCCAGTGAGCCAATCAGGAGGGGGCGGGGCTGAGTTGTGTGTGTGAATGGACATGCAAACTGCTTTTTCTGGGGCACTCTGCAGGAGGGAGGAGACTCAAGAATCGGAGGATCCGGGTTGCTCTGTGCAAAACCTTTGCCCAGAGCAGGTAAGTATAACATGTTTGTTATTTTAAAAGAAAAAAAATCAAGACTTTAATATCATTTTAAGTTCATCTTTCTTGGGCTTGGGAACTTAAAATATCTGGATTTTGTTTGATCTTTTCAGGAGTCTTCCACAAATGTTAGTTTGGAGTATACAGAGCCTTTAACTGCTTGCCGTCCAGCCACTTTAGAAAAACGGCCACAAGGTGGCACCGCTGGGCTGAATCATGTTTTAAAACGTGATATTGCAAAACAGGTAGGGGGCGCTCCCGAGGCGCACGACCGCCCTACCCCTGCCACCGATCGTGGCCGCGGGTGTCAATCACCGGGTCCCGGGTGGGCTCTACCCGCCGGGTCCCGGCGATTGCCGGCAAACAGTGACACAGAGCACAGCTGCATTGTTTA